TTCCTGGTAAATCTACTCCTTCTCCCGGACAACTCATAGATTGTGGGCACCCCCTTCTGGGCTCTTAAACAATGGACTTTATCAGCCCCCAAAAAGAACATCAAGCTTCTTATAAAGCCATTGCATAAGACTAAAGGTTGCAGAGAGGGTAGCTGTAATGAGGTCCATGCAATAGGGAAGAGTCACAGATGTGGAGGAAGGAAGAACATTAGACTGGAGAGAGTAGATCTGTATAATCTGACAGAATCTGCAGCAGGAACACTGGGTCTATAAGGGTGCCTCTAGATGTGCCAGGAGGCTGCTTGGAGCACTCTTGATTAATCGAGTCTGTTGGAGTGTGCTAATTAGTGTACTCCAGCCAGCCTCTGTGTCTTGTGTATCAGCATTCCTGTGTTTCAAAATGGCGGGGGTGCTTTAACTAAAGCTCGTTTCATGAGCTTTAGTTAAAGTGCCCCCACTGCCATTTTGAAGTGCAAGGATGCTGATACATGAGATGCTGTGGCACTTTAACTAGAGCAGCCCTTGGAGCTGCTCTAATTAAAGTGACACCCTACCCCCACGTTCACAGCATGGTTAATAACACCCTAAAAGAGGAAAGGAGATTATTGCTTTAAAAGCACGAAACTCCAGTTGTGACATTGTTGCACTCTGTGTGGCAAGAAAGTGAAGAGACAGCTTGAAGAGACAGCTACAATTGAATTTTCAGTGAGTTAATTGTTAACCAGGCTAGGATTTGGCCAGGACACTTGAATTCATACCCTGAACCCACTGCAAAAGGAAAACCGCTTCATAACCCATGCACTTACTACGTTGCCTACTGGTTTAATTTTGGAGGACAAACTTAAAAAAAAACTTTAAAAAAAAATTCTTACATAATATCAATATGTTTTGTACAAGCTCCATTTCTGTACAAGAGACATCCTGTTGCAAAACAAAGCCCAGGGCTGAAGTCCAGATCTCCCTGCACCCTTTCCTTCAGTGCTTTGTGACTTTCAAGGCACACCCATTGCTGCCTCCTCCTCCAAAGTACGTCAAGTTATCAGTGAGTGGAATAGTTAGACAGCTAGGAGGGCTGTATTTTGAATATTGATGTATTAGAACTGAATTATATTAGATGTCATATAGGTAAATGAGGAAAAGCACACTGATCACATATGCCAATCAGGGCACTAAATTATTTGCATAATATCTCCAGATTCCTTAATCTTTATTCTTAACAGGTAAGCCAACTGGTGCTTGTCAGGATTTACAAATATGCTGTTTATAAATGATGGCAAAAGGTTAGTGCCTTTTCAAAAGCACCCACAAGATAAACCATCAATCCTTCACCTCTACCATATTTACTTGCACATGACATGCACCCCACTCCCTGAAAATCACCTGGTGAAAATGGAGGTGTGAGCTTTAAATGAGAAAGCGTGGGAAGCAGAGGGCCCAATCCTGTAGAAGCCAAACTGCACATCAAGCTGAGCAGTCAGTGTCACCTGCTGTCAGGTGAGGGTCCATCTGGTTCAAAAAGGGGGGCTGGCCAGATCAGCTCCAGCAGGATTCTGTCCTCAGGAAACTGAACTGCCTGGCCCCTTGTATCTTCTCAGGCTGGTTGGCTGTATCCTGAAGGTAAGGAAGTTACAGAGCAGCCACAGGTTTTTGAGCATCCCCGACTGCAGTTGCCTGTGTTTTCCCTGCAAAAATTCTGTACTTACTGGTATTTTCAAGGAAAGATCCTTTATCTTAATTCCACCTTTTCAAAAACAAGGTGTATGTCTTACTCAGGGGCATGTGGTATGTGAGGAAATAGGGTATTATGTATTGAACAAGAACTGACTTACGCCCAACTTGATCAAACATCACTGAGAATAGGAAGTCCCTTGGTGTCATGTAATATTCTCCATTATATTCCAATGATGCAAAATGCATAAAGCGTTGTTTTCGAATAGACAATTTTTCTGCCATTTCCTCATCAGCAACATCTTCCTTCTGAAACAGAGAAAAGACTGATGCAACAAAAATATGCTTTGTTTTTTAGACCAGAATTGTAATAAGGCAGGGTCATGTGATGACTTTTATTATCACAGAATCAAAGAAAAATAGAATTGGAAGGGACCTCAGGAGATTATCTAGTTTAACCTCCTGCTCAAAGGACAAGATCATCTCAGTCTAAATCATTTCATCTAAATGTTTGTCTAACCTGCTTTTACAAACTTCCAAGACTGGAGATGCCACACTCTTTCTAAGTAATCTGTTTCAATGCTTAACCACCCTCAGAGTTATAAAGTTCTTTCCCATCTCAAACCTAAATTTTCCTTGCTCCAATTTAGGACCATTGTTTCTTGCCCTGTCCCCTCAGGCCACAGAGAAATCTATCACCAACCTCTTTATAGCTATCTTTCCTACATTTGGAGCCTGTTATTGAATTTCCCCACTTTTCTCCAGACTGAAGAATCTCGGTTCTTCCAATCTTTCCTCAAAGTCATGTTTCCTCTACTAATTTTTTGTTGCTCTCACTGGAATCTTCTCAATTTGTTCATATCTGTCCAGAAGTATAGGGCCCAAAATGAAGACAGTACCCAAGGGGATGACTAGCCATTGCTGATTAGAAGGGACAAATCACTTTCCATGGCTTCTGTGCAACACCCCTGTTAATACAACAGGGTATATTAGGAGAAGTGGCAGCATGTGACTACTTGAAGAAGGAAGGCCCCAGGATTGAAGAGGAGAGGGCTGAAGTCAGTGACTGCTTTCAAGCACTCTGTGGTAGAATTGCTGAGGAAGAAGCAGAGGAAAGGACATCTGCAGGCATGAGGAACAGGCTTACCTGTTAAGAATAAAGATCTAGGAATCTGGAGATGTTATGCAAATGATTTAGTACCTTGATCTGCATATGTGAGCAGTATGCTTTTCCCCATTTACCTATATGACACCTAATGTATTTCAGTTTTAATGTGTCACTATGTACACATTCCTCCTAGCTGTCTAACTATTCAAATAACCAAAGACGCAAAGAAAGTGAAACTACTCAACAAATACTTTATCTCAGTCTTTAAGGATTACGTGGATAAGGAAGGGAGCAAGCTGAGGGAAGAGATAACAAAAGTGACTGTTGGAGAGCTTATGTTGGATCTTAATGAATTCAATTCAGCAGAGTTGGATGAGCTTCATCCCAGAGTCCTGAAGGAACTAGCAGAGGAGATCTTGGAGCCTTTGGCAAAGAAACTCATGAAGTCACAGGAAACAGGCCAGGTACTAGAGGACTGGAAAAGTGTCAATGTAATGCCTATCTTTAATAAAGGCAAGGAGGATCCATTATTGACTCCAAGATGAACATGAGCCAACAGTGTGAGGTCACGGTTGGCAGGGCTAACCAGACCTTGTCGTGCATCCACAAGTGCATCTCTAGCAGGGACAAGAAGGTGATTCTCCCCCTCTATGCAACACTGGTCAGGCCACAGCTGGAGTACTGTGTCCAGTTCTGTGCGCCCCACTTCAGGAGGGATGTGGACAACATGGAGAGGGTCCAGAGGAGGGCCACCCAAATGACCCGGGGACTACAGGGCAGACCGTACAATGAGAGACTGCGGGACCTGAACCTGTTCAGCTTTCACAAGCGAAGGCTGAGGGGGGACCTGGTGACAGTCTATAAACTCACTGGGGGGACCAGAAGGGTGTGGGAGAGACCTTGTTTCCGCTAGCGCCCCCTGGCATAACAAGGAATAACGGCCACAAGTTGTTGGAGAGGAGGTTTAGATTAGACATCCGTAAGAACTACTTCACAGTTAGGGCGGCTAGGAACTGGAACCAACTTCCAAGGGAAGTGGTGCTGGCTCCTACCCTGGGGGCCTTTAAAAGGAGGCTTGATACCTACCTAGCTGGGATCATTTGAGCCCAGTTTTTTTTTCTCCTGCCCCGGCAGGGGGTCGGACTTGAAGATCTATAAGGTCCCTTCTGACCCTACTTCTGTGATTCTATGACCCTGAGAACTACAGACTGGTTAGCCTCATCTCAATACCTGGGAAGTCACTGGAGCATATCCTAAGCAAGGCCATTTACAAGCATCTAGAAGAGGAAGGGCTGACTGAAATCGGTCAGCATGGATTTATGAAAAACAAATTGTGTCAAAGAAACCTGATCTTCTTCTTTGACAATGCTACAGATTTAGTGCATCTGGACTTCAGCAAGGCTTTTGACAAGGTCTCACATGACCTTCTCATAAACATATTGGAGAAATGTGGGCTGGATAAAACTACCACATGGTAACTAGATAAGTGATTCAATAGCTGCAAGCTTTTTAGCATCCTTTCATCTATGAGAGGATGGTGGATATTGCAGCCTACGATGCAGATGGTTTGTACCGTCTCATGTGACTGAACAGTCCAATCTGAGATTTGCATGATCTGCCGCAGTGGTTGCAAGTGTGTCTCATGGTTGGGTGGTTCAGGAGCTGCTTGCTTCCTATGGATTCTTTTCTCTTCAAGCTGTTGGAGCCAATTCCTGCTGTGGACTTTGAAGCCCTGGTGGAGACAATGATGCCACTTGTTCTGATTGCCTGCCAAGGTTTTCCATTGGTCAGGATCAATTCCAAGTGCCTTCACACCTCGGTTACATGCATCTTTGTAGCAAAGCTTGGGATGTCCTGTTGTTCTTGTTCCCTCCAACAACTCCCCATATACAGTAAAACCTGTTATCTAACACCCAGGGGGAATGGAGGGGGCCGAATAACAAAATATGCTGCATAACTGAGAGGCCCGAACAGGCTTCTTTGCCTGTTCAGGCCACTGCCTGTCCTGC